ATGTAATATATAATATATAATATAGATATTATTCTTAAAACAACCTCCATGAGGTAGATTATTATTATCTCCACCTCAGTGGTGAAGAAACTGAAGCACAAAGCTTTAGATGATGTACAGTCACACACATAATAAGTGGTCCCTCAGGAAGAAACAAGGACAGTCTGACTCTGTAGGCCATGCTTTTAGCCATTCATCTTTATTTGATAGGAAAACGCAAACTTGTCCATAACCGTAAAGAAAGATAATGGTGGAACGCTCTTGCCAATTTATTTTCCCAGGAGGAGCACATGAGACTATCCCCTTTCCTGTACCTATGCCAGCACTATGTTATATTTTAAATCTTATTTCTACTGCTTCTACCTCACAGGATTGTTTTGAGGATTGAACGGTAGTGGTCATTATTTTCATTGTGATTATATTAAGGCACAGTCTTAAGCACACAATTGAAGAAAAACATTTGCAATGTGTATGGCTAACAAAGGGTTAATATCTTTGGAATATAAATAGATCTGTCAATTTAATAAGATAAAAATGAACATACCTACAGAAAAGTAAGCAATGGACACAAACAGAAAATTAACAAAAAAGAAATAAAAAGTCATTAAACATTTGGAAATTTTTTTCCTTCCCACTAAAGGTAATATAAATAAAAACAATGTAATATCATTTTTACCTGCCCAATCAGCCGAAATAAGATTTAAAATATAACATAGTGCTGGCATACATGCAGGAAAGGGGGTATTCTTATGTGTTCCTCCGGGGACAACAAATTGGTAAACATGCTGCCTGTCTGGGGAGCAATTTGAACTAAGCCCCATTCTAGTTTTCAGAGCCCTGCACCTTGGGTTTACTCCTCCCTCCTCATATACATCCTTTAGGTAAGAAACTCAGCTCAGTCAATTTTGGGCCTGATGACTCCTTGAGTTTGGGACCTCACTGAAAGGCCTGGGGTAGGCCCTGGGATTTGTCTTGCACGAGGTCAAAGAGCATGGCTACATGAGCTGGAAGAGCCCTGGTCCAGTGAGAGCTGCAGGTTTTACTGCTTGTATGTGCTCTCCTTGCTGTCCCCAGCTCAAGCTCTTCCAAGAACCCCATGTTCTCGCTTATGGGAATGTGGGCTGAGCTCTTGAACCTGTCCCATGAAATGCCTCTCAGAAAGAGCTCTTCTGGGCACAGGAGACAGGCCTGCTAAAGGAGGAATTGGCAGCAGGGAGCAAGGTTGGGCAGACAGGTTCTTGAAATACGCCTGCACAAAGAGTGAACACTCTTACTTCGCCCTTTCT